AGGTTCCGTTGTACCGTCTTACCCTCGTTCACCAGGATGCGTCGTTGATACGCCGCTGATGAAATTGGCGGACGAACCGGTTGCCAAGTTACCACGGTCTCCCGCGATGTGCTGGTACGCGAATCTGTTTACCGACTCTATTTACGAGGTTGGGCAACCGTGTAAACCATCCTGCTAATAGAATATGCCCATATTCCGGCCCCGTAGGAAGCATAAGGGCTGAGACCCGTAACGAGTAACCCCGGCTTCCTCCCCGGTGTTATCGCGATTTTCCCCCGGTTGAACCCGGCCAGGAGTTCAACTTTGCACAACGAGTGAATCCCGACTATCCCGTGCAATCTGCCCGGCCAAGCCTGGCCGAAACTATTGAGTTATTTAGCAGTTTCCGGGATGATTATTGAAACGAAGCTCGGATAGTAGTGGCCCTGATTTGTGGAAACGGTACGGGTATGCTTGCACCGGAGTTAACTCTACGATTGGATAACGTAGCCGTGTGCCGGCTGCTGGATACTTTATGGATTAATTTCGGCTGTTTGCTTGCTTGCGCCGTGTGCGAACTGTTGTCCCCGTGCAAATGATCCCCCCTCGCTATTGGATGTAATCAGCTTCTCGATATTTATTTCTTAATCCTATTGAACAATTTTTTTTTTTTTTTTTTTTTTTGAAAGGAATGGAAGCAGTTTAATGGTGTTATTTAATGTTTCGGTATTATATTTAAAACGAGAACGTTTTTGAGGTTCGAAATTGCAAAATTTTTGGAGAAAGAGAGAGGGAGGGAGGAAGGGAGAAGAAATAGGTGTATCGTAGAGTGTGAAATAGCTTTAATTTCGGAATCACATTCGATAGCAAAGAGTAGATAGAAAAAATTAAGACAATCGAATTGTCCATACGACGCGATGCTGTCGAATATTTTAATCGAGATCCTCTTCTTTTTCTTCTTCTTCTTCTTCCTTCTTCGTTGCCAAGGACGAGGTGAATTTTCCATTCCCGGTATTACGAAGAAGTACGGACATTCTTGATTAGAAAAAAAGGGGAAACAAGTTCGTTCATTTCTTCTCTCGTAACTCTCGTTGAATTAGTTAAACGCGGCCGATATTTAATTATTCCGATTCCATTTGCTCGACCGTTAATTTTAATTCGATCAATTAACGAATCGCGCGGCGATAATGGTGAAATATTCGTATGAAATTCCCCCTTGCTCCCTTTCTTCGCTCGTTCTTCGCTCGTTCTTCGCTCTTCGGTTTATAAAACATTTAATCGGACAGATTTTGCGTAAAAAGTTTATTTAAGTGACGCGTTTGAGGGATGATCGACTGCACACTCGGGTTTCAAGATTACGTCGGCGAATCGGAAATTCTCTTTCCCAAGGAGAGGGAAACGAGGCGAAGGTAGAGGCCGGCAATCGTATAAACAGGAGGGTTCGAGCTTGTTGCCGGGATCGGTGGAAAATCCCGTCATGGAAGGACGAAACGGTTGAAAGGGGAGAGCCGGCCGATGCTCGAAGTGAATTCAATGCCGAAATCAACGATACGATCCACTAGGAAAGAATCGACATCGAGTCGGAAAGGCGAGCTATCGGCACGAATGGAAAACTGCTGGGAGCCGGTCGGAAAATTCTGTCGTGAAACAGAAGAAGTGGATCAGAATGGGGTAGATTTTGCGAAAATGTGCTCGAGCGATCGTGCTCCCAGATATTCACCGTGAAAGGATTGTTAAACGGGGAAAGAAAGGAAAAACGCGTGGGTTGAGTGAATTTTGTTCCCCCTTCCCTCTCTTCCTAGTTACGATTATACAGTTCGTGTTCCCGTGCACGAAAGTTGCAACGATCGTGGATTAGTTTATGTCGTTTGGAAGAAACGATGAGAGTTTCGTGAAGCTGTAGCTTTTGTCAATTTCCCTTACTTTACGTCAGATTGCAGGCGAGCATTGTTCAAAGGTTCAATTACGATTTCCTTATCTTTCTGCGATGCATTCCGCCGAAATTACAAGGCAACGAAGCCACCCACCGACGGTGAAGGAACCGACGAATTTAAGGGTTCGCTTTGCGTGCCGGCGCGGAATACGTATTACGCCGACTGGTATTACACCATAATTTCACTGCGCTTTTTTTTCCTTTTTTTCTTTTTTTTTTTTTTTTTTTCCTTTCTTTTCTTCTTCCTCTCTCGTTTCACCACGCGACGCAGCACGAAGCTTTCCGTTTGTTCCTTTGATTGCACCGGAGCGCCTTCTCTGCCTTTTTTTTTTCTCTCTTTCTTTCTTTCTTCCTTTGCTTCCTTCCCCCTTTTCTCTTTTTCCCCCGTTTTCATTCTTCCCGTTCATTTCCGGGACGACTATAAATTCACGGACGAGGTAAAACGATAGAAAACGGGTCGAAAGGTATCGCTGCTCGTGCTTTTTCGGCCAAATCGAATCTAAGGGGTAGATCAAATAACTGAACGTACGTGCTGTGACTGGAACGTACGAAATTTTGGAGAATCACCAAACTGGTGGTAGAGATTGCGGTGGACTCCGGTCCCTTTTTGTTAAAAGTACGATCCCTTTGTTTATCGTGTTTCGCGGAGGGGAGAAAGGAATTTCGAGGAATGTGAGATGTTTGAAAAAAATTCTAGTAGATTTTCCTGGCCGTAAAGGCTTATTTAAATCGACGGCATTCATACGCGTGCTTCGCTGCAGATACTGCGCACATAAATTTGAATTTGAATAAATTTGAATAAACACACACGGAATAACGTGTAAAGAATATTTTCGCGTACCGAGTCGCTTCTTCGCTCTTTTATAACCGTGACTTCGTACCTTGAGGAGATCGACCATCGTTCTCCGAAAGAAACGCGCGCGCGTAAGCGCGTGCATGTATCTGTGTGTATGTGTGTGTTTATCCGTTCATCTTTTAAAATCGAGAATGGGAAAACGATCGAAGGGGGGAGACGGATAGCGACAGAGATCGATAAAAGAGAGATAGGTAAAACTGAAATTTCTAGAATTTTTAAAATATGGATGGCCCGTGCTCAACTCTTATGATATATCGACAATCTTCCTCCAAGAAGTATTTTCTAGAGATACAGGAATTCGATTGGTAGTCACCTCTTCTCTCGCCCATTTCCACTTATTATTATGCAGCTATTGAAATTTTTTTCTCGCGATACTCGATGGCAGCAGACGGTTCCATCGACGGTTTCTTTTTTGTCGGATTTTCCATTTTTTCGATTAGTCTGGGATAGAACTCCATTAAATAGACCATTCCGAAAGTAACGAACACGGTCGTGACCGTGACGAGGGGGAGAGAGAGACGGCGCGATGGTAAATTAATTTCACGACAACTCGTCGACGCTTCGTTATCGGTTGCCAATCCCTTCGTCCCGTTCCTACGGAAATGCATATCGATATCGTCTGGATATCGTTGAGCGATTTCCACAGTTTCGCCGTGTACCTTGTAACAATTTCAATTTCTGCCCCACTGAAATCCTATTCTCCCTCTGAATACAATGGGAAATTTTATCGAGCACCACCTCTCTGTCTTCCATCTGCGTCCCACGCGTATCCCGCATCGAACACCCACAACGATTCAAGCCTCGTTCAACGCAATACCGTTTTTTCTACCATTTCCACCCAGTCTCGTGGGATTATGTTAATGACGACTCTCTCGTTTCTACGATCGACGAAATCCTGGTTAATGGTATGAATCGAGTGATTCATACAAATCTGGCCGAGTGTAACTCAATTCGGCGGAAAGATAATAATTACCCATTTGGGTCCTCGGAAATCGTTGAATCGTTCACAAAATTAGGAACATGCTCGTTCTCGCGTGTATCGTTTTATAAATGTGTTACCATCGAAAGGATATATTTTAATGGTAAATTAAAAGGGACAAAAAATATCGAATAAAAATTATTCTATTCCGCTCGATTATTATATATATAGTTTTATAAATATAATCGTAGTCATTTGTTTTATCGAAATTTCATTTGAATGAAATATCGTTATCATTTGATGAAATAATATATGTATGCGTGTAATGAATATTTGAACGAATCACACGTGGTACGTATATACACGTATATGTAAACCATGTATAAACTACTTCGTTACAAAGTATAAACACAATACGTATCGTCGTCGCGACTGGTGGCGACGTCACGCGGAAAAGGAAAACAAACGAATAAGAAAAACCACAAGCATGAGTTTGAATTTCAAAATGGCGTCCGTGAAGTCGACACGTGTGGTGCGTAACAAGTGTTTCCGTAGCAAAAATAGTTAATTCTTCGTCTCAACTATTCTATTTCATCGTTTTCATAGGTAAGTCGATAGCTGAATCCGTAATTTAATCCGGTTACGCGCTTGAATCGAAGGTCAGCGAAATTAGATGTGAAAATAGACATAGAAGCGTGCCATGGAAGAGCCTGGCATTCTCGAAATTATTAGTTGGCGAACTATTTGCATTAACGGTGGATCAAAGAAGACGATGTGGGCTGTTGTGGCACAACTAACACGGTATTTCACAAATATTAACCGTGATTGCGTACCAAGATCATATTACAATAGCATGACGCATTAGTATCGTCGAAAGTTCATCTTTAATCAAGTGCTTATTAGAATCGTTCGTGTGCGCGTGCGCATGTTGTTCGTGCATGTCTTCTTGTTCGTTGGAAAGCAAGATGGTAACAACTAACCTACTCGAGAGACAGAACTTTTGATGTTGCAAAAGCACCTGCATCGTCTAACCTCGTTTGAACGTAAAGCTCGAAGAGTTTCCATATTCATTCAACTTACTTTGACTTTGCGAGAAATATTCTGGCTGTTCTGTTGCTGTGACGCCTTGTTAAATAAGAATAGATCTCTCTGTTATTTATGCATTTCTCGCGACAAAATTTTAACGTTCGCGTTCGCTCCTTCGAAATATTTACGCCATCTTCGAAATATTTACGAAGTTTTTCTACGATTTCGAAAAATGGAAAAATTTATAAAGTGAACAGTTTCTTTAATTTTTCATATTTTTTTTTCAGGTGGATCGAGTCTGGCGAGTGTGGTCGCTGGGAGTAAGCCGACGAGACTTTTGAATAAACCGGATTTCGACGACATCGGCCCACGAAATGTCACCGCCATTGTTGGCCAAACAGCGGAATTGAATTGCTTCGTGAAACATCCCGGAGACAGAGTGGTGAGTGACGATTTATTTTTTAAAATATACTTCGAGACGAATATTAATGCGAGTCGTTAGGTAGAAACATTTTTCTATTAATAATCGCGAATGTTATATATATATCAATCTCAACGTTATATTTTATTGTAATGTATTGGTGTTTTATAAATCATTTTAACAAATGGTACAAAGTAACGAGTTTAATGGATGATGAAATGCGCCTTGCGTCGTCATTTTTCCGTTATTTTATTCAATAATATGTAGGGAAATGCTAGTAGAACAAACATTTTATCGTTTATTTCGAGAAATATCGTAAAATTGTTAGGGAAAATAAGAGAAATATTTTTATTCGTATTTCATAATAATATTCCATTCATCGATTAATTTACTTTCACAATGGTTCGATGAGTATATATATGTATATTTATATATATTTATTTTCACGTGTAATCCGTGCATCAGAAGCATGTACAATTGTATCGATGAAATCACGAATAATTTTATGCATAATAAAGGTTCGGTAGGAATCGCGAAACTTTACCCAACTGATACCGATGATTTCTAACACAATGTAGTTCATTAAATGTTCGGCAGTGGATGGTTAATACCATCAGGAACAGCAGCATACCAAAATCTTCGCATAATTATAGGTATTTGGGCATTAGCATACGTATAAACCGTATCAATATACGTAATGACTAGTTTTCGGTTCGGGCTCACGTACGCAGAAATCGTGTAATGTTTACTTATCGCAGTGTATCCGCATATTGTTGCAACATTTTCCATCCCACACGGTTCATGGATTTCTGGAAACGTGTGAATTATTAATCACCGTACGAATTAGGATAAATTAACAGAAACGGGTAAACCTCGATTTCAATTCATTTCACGGATTATCTATTCAGGGAAATTTCGTCCATATGATATTTTTAAATTCGCGTGAAAGTTGATCGATAAAAATAATCGTTCGTTCTTACAAATTGCTGTTATATTGCCTTCGATCCGTAATATAATAAATGATACTTGGACGATAAAAATTATCTTCGTTTTTGATTCCGATCGTCGTTTTTCATTCCGATCGTCGTGGATTCAATTATTTTACACTACAAAAGCGAATCGATGGGTGGAAGAAAGCTATCGTTCGGCTTTTATACGATATTCACCACTACTGATGTCTCTTTGATATCGGTTCGGGTCGAGTCTACTTTAACGCATCCATCGAACTAGCAGCAAGAAAGACAGTCTTTAAATCTCTTCTCTTCCGGTTCTCGAATCTGCCCTGAATACACCGTACGCCTGTGTACATGTATACACATATATGTTCCCTTGTACGTGTCAATAGCGGGTATGGCTGTCTTTAGCTCGAACCGCCCAAGTGCTGTCTTTAATTGCTAGACAGGAGAGTCTCGAACAGCGGAAGAAGCAAGTGCAGGTTAGACTAGGATTGCCAAGGGTGGCCACAGGGTGACTGCACCCTCGCCAGCGGCAAATGAACCGATCAAGTATACTTGGCCAAGCGGTTACAGAAGAGAATCCCCTTTTCCTCTATCAATACTCGGTGCTCTGTATATACATACGAAACTAAAGGCCAACAGGAAGTGAACGAGCGACTAATTTAACTTATAGAGACGCGTATGAATAAGAACGAATATGGATCGAAGGATAAACGAATTAGATGATTGAACAGAAATTTCGAATTTTTCGTGATTGATAAAATTTTTCTTCTTTATTTTTTGTTATTTAAACTAAGTTAATTACACAGCGTGGATACGTAATAATTATTCAAACGTTAGGAGGACGAGAGGAGCTATCTTTGCGTTTCGGTTTGCACATTTTTATGCATTTTAAATTTCTTCTTCACCCTCCGACATTTTCACCTTTGTCGCACACTTGCCGACTGACCGTCAGTTGCACGATTGCGCATAACATTAACCGCATACCTTTTTCGTGGATTAAATTCACCGAGTTCGTTCCATTAAAAGCTGAAACATTTTTTCGTAATTCACGAATGAAAACAATTGTTCCATCGCCCCGCATATCGTTTTTCGCTCCATTCTTCGCATTTCCATTCCCTTCTCGCGTACAATTGATGTTTTATTATTCTGGAACCGCGACATTAGCATCAGTAACACACGAATTTTCGAGTGAAATCTATTCGGCTCTTATTATTAGGGGAAATGCATTAGCCTTGAATAATGCAGCAGGTTTGATACGGTGATATATACGAGCTTCTTAAAATTCCGTTGGAAAACTGTTGCTCCGCCACTCTCTTCTCTCTCCTTCTCCGTGGGGAAAAATAAACGGAGTTGCATCTAGTTTCGCGCAGAATGGAATGGAACGAGCATTCGACACGATTCTAAGGTGGCCGTGCAAGTGATCCGTTTAATTGATCGAGCTCTCTATCGCGTGTACCTACGCAAATAATTGGAATGAATTTAGCGTTAATCGCGTACACAATCGCGGCAAAAGGAATTGGTGATGCGTGTGGGCAAGGATGACACTCGTGTTCAATTATTCTATCTGTACGACACTGTGTTTGTTCCTTGGTTGGTTCGGATCAATCGCTTGCCTCGTTTCTTTCGTTCGTTTTTCGAATTGGAAAAAATTCGATCGTTCGCGAAACGTTATTTTTCCTGTCTGCCGCGTTAACGAATACACGGGAGAATACACGGGGGAGGGAGGGGATCGATCGGTGGAACGTAAACGATGGTTCGACATGTTGGACGAAACGGCGTTAAATTCATCCGTTCAATGATATTTCATCGGTTTGAAGGAACCGAATAAAATACGCGTGAAAGAGAGAACGAGAATTTCGATTTGTCGGTTGTCATAAAAAAAAATAAAAAAATCAACGTTCGAGACGTGCAGATCAACTGGTCGCTGATCGAAGACAGCGATAAACCATTCGCCGATGTTTCCGTAACTTCTATAATTGATTTAGCACCGGATCAAGAACGTAGTAATACGCGCAACTGCTTTATATCGCGGAAGGGATCCGTTTAAACTTAGTTTAATTAAACCGTGGATTTATTGGGCGCCGCTTGATACACGCGTACACACGAAGATACGGGTGCACTGTTCAGCGACAAGGGGCCGCCACGCTCGATGTATACGTACCCGAATCTCGAGGCTTGGTCGGAGGGGGCATGGTCGAATGGAACGTTACACGTGTTTGTGACGTGCGTTTATGCGTCGCGCACAGGTATATTGCGTGCATTATAATTATAGGGTACGATCCTCGAAACGGATATCGATATTATTTGTCATCGGTTGGGACAAATGAAATGATAATCGCGAGTGGGATAATTGGAAAGAGAAACGATCGGCAAAGATATATTCCGGGTGTGAAAAATGATATAGAAAAGGATAAGAGGGGAACGAAATGTCGTGGAATTAGTCAGGACGGCATATTCAGTCAGGTGAATCGTAGTTTAACGAAGGACAGACAGGTCTTGCTAGCTCGTTGGAAATGGTAAATTGGCGTAGACGACAAGAGCGTAGTTAATTGAGATGAAGGAGTTGCCGGGGAAATTGGGTTGAAGTACGACGACCGGTTGTTTTGCGTCAGCTGTTGAGCACGGATGCCGGAATTTCTTCTGGCTGCTATCGATCACACGATACTGCGCAACACCATTTCTGCTCTGAAATAATTGTCTTTGAACGTATCTCGTCCCCCCCTCGTCTTTGTAAAGGTGTAGAGGTGTTTGGACGGTCGTTGTACGGTGCAAATTTTTTGAAAAGTGGCTCGGGAAAGAGAGAGTTGGAGGAAAGTGGATTTGTGTGTTTAAATATTTATACAAAGGCGGGGCAAAGTTTGTTGGGCAGGTGTAGAGAATTTTCGACAACTAATTATACGAAACTGCAAATATGGTTAGATCGATCGTAGAAGTTTCAATTACCTCGAGAGAGCGTAATGTACTCTGTTGCACCGTATTGGAGACGACGAAGCGTTTGCAGCAGATATCTTATTAGCGCGATGGTTACGTTCATTAAAGTTCGATGAACAATTAATCGGTCGCTATCTGTCGCATAAAGCGACCCTCGTCCGTCTAATCGAAATGCTGACTACAGTCATTAATAACTTAATTGCAGAAGTGCGTCGTTCCCATTGTTCTCTGTATTCAAGCGCAAATAATTAGAATCGGCCAATTATCAAACGCTAGCGAATTTACAAAGATAACAGATCGCGGAATCTTAGATCGCGAATTTATGAAATAATCGAACACTCAGGGGAAAAATTCACGAAATTGTTTGGAAATTATTTCCGGGTAAACGGATGACGTTGCGAGAAAAATTTTTAGCTAAATTATTAAAATATTATTGCAACAAAATGCAGAAAATCTGTTTAAAAAAAAAAATGCTCGAGAAATTTTCGCGTGTTTGGCGCGCGAAAGAGCTTAATTAAAAGAATATAGCGCGAATAAAAGGGAAACTGGGGATATCTCCTCCCTAAGTCGCTGGGCATAAAGCAACGAATATTCTTTGTTGGGCGCAATCCGGGGAAGGGAAAAAAATTTCCACGAACTTCTGCGAACCATCTGCAACCTGTCTGTGTGCGGTGGACACGGTGGTCTGTAATGAACAAAGAAAATGCAAGTCAGCGCACGAGGGTCGAGGGTGGAAGTTGGTGGAAGGAAAGGGATGTGAGAGGTCGCCGCAGCTTTCGAGCGGACAGATGTTATCTTTGGACAGGCTGCTTTGTCACAATCCCTCCACCAGTGGCAAAAAGCCATCGCCTCGCCCTTCCTTCTTAATTACCCGTCACTCTTCCTGCGATCATTAGCCCCCCTCCCCCCCTCCCCCATAATTAATAATCGAAGATGATCGATCGGCGTCGAGGGTGGTGGAGGGGGGTCAACAACGGTGTCGTTGAGAATCGTCGAGGGGAGTCGAGGCCGAGTTGAGCGACTTTTAATTGCGGCGAATCCGGGCGAAATTGTTTTCCACGCCGGGGAGAAATAACTCGGCCTTCCGGAGGAGGAATGACCGTGAGGAGGGGGTAGAGGGGAGGACTAAGC